TCAGAATAGCATATAATAGCATATAGTAGTTTGTGCCACTATAGTTGTTGCATTTATTACCCGAATTCAAACTCGCACAAACTCGTATAATGCATTAATTGTTGAAAAAAACAAGGCAATGTAAAGGTGACAAGAAACCAACTCAATGGCAAATCAACAAGTCCATGCACAATGATCAAATGATACATAATTTTAATTTATTCGCTCGGCATCATAAATATTTAAAGGGCACAGTAAGCCTTGAGACTAGATAGGTCTCTCCTATTTGTGTTGGTTAATTTCAAGTAAGCCCCAAAATCAAAAGGCTTATAGAGACGAGGATGTTCATCATCTACTATCTCTTCAGGCGCATTTATGATCACGCCTTCTTTCGGAGGCGAGAACAGTCCAGCCACATACCGATCTTTCTTTCCGGTTATAACCACACGGTGAAGTGCAGGTAACACCCCACCATTCAACAGTACCTGCAAAACATATAGTACTATATATATGTTGATCTCATAATTAATTAAAGATTTATAGAGAAGATGAAACTTGAGACACAAGGAAGCTTAATTTCAATTACATGAAGAGAAGATCCGGCCATAACAAGGAAAGCAGAGTCTTGAGATGGCTTAGCTTTGATCCACTCTTCACCATTTTTGGTTCTTATCTCCAAGCCATCTACTACATCGTTCTGGCAAAGAATGGTAAGGAACTGTCTATCAATATGAGGGTCAAAACCTAGCTTCTCTTCTGTATTATCGCTAAGTCCTTTGTACTTGAGTAATTGAAATTGGTTCGCTGCTGAGTTAAGATGGTCCGTTACGTATTTCTCGAGCCCGAAACTCTCCAAGATCATTGTCCTAACCGTCACGTTTAGTTCTATTAACTTCTCCGCAAACGACTGAACATTCTTGCTGAAATATATCGCAAATCTTAGTACTTTCTTTTTTGAAATTTTCAAATTATTAAAACTAGTATCATGATACAAACGGATAGAACCAATAAATTTATGTAAATCTTCATGTGAAAAATGTGAAGTTCTGGTAAAAAGCCTTCAGCCTTGAATGATTTTTTTTTTGTTTTTATGTAAAAGAACGTTGTTATTAACTTTGAAATTATGTATTATGCTGGTTCAAATCTTGATTGTTACTTAGTGAAAGTATTGACGCAAACTAATATATCACATGTATTGGTGGCAAATATTGCTATCATTTTTGTTTTGAAATGAATGTTAAATTATATTAAAAAAAAAACATGTTTTGAATTGGCTGCGTCTTTAGTTTGAAAACTTTAAAACAAAAAAACATAGAGTAAAACTAATGATGAGTAAAGATCATATATTCGAGTTCCAAACCACTGGTTTAGGCCCTTGTCATA